GTGTGCGTGTGTGTGTGTGTGTGTGTGTGTGTGTGTGTGTGTGTGTGTTTAACGCCGCTGGCTGCCGATCGCTGAGACGTTTGCTTGTTGCTTTGCCGGGGTTCATCGGGACGAAGGCAAAACGAAGCGCGGGGAGGTGCGACGCTACGAAGGCGCGTGGCCGCCGCAGTTCCCTTGGCAAGAACGCGGCCTTTGGTGCTGCGTGTTAGCCTTCGCCAGATTAGCCATCAGGAAATTGTGGGATTAAACATGTCTGCTTGGACTTCCTGGACACAAACGTTGAAGCTCGGCCGCCCACTTGCGCCAGAAGCCCCCGGTCGCGTTCTTTGCCCGCGAGCCGCACTGACGGCCAGCCTCGAACGCAGATTTGGACAGGAATGCTTGGGTGCATCCTCTGGGGAGGGGGGGGGGTGGGGGGCGGGGTTCTCGTGCCAATGTCCAAGTGGGCCTCAAGTGGCACCCCTGTATCGTCGCTTTGCACCTGCAGGGTCACGCCAAGCCAAACGCAAGCAGCGAGAAGCCCGCCCAAGCAACTGGAATGAAGGCCAAAGGCTTTTTCTTCAGCTTTTGCCGCACCGGACCTCAACCTGACGATTTTACACTGCGGCCGTGCGGTGCCAGAGCAAAATGAAAATGAATCAGCAACGGCGTGGGAAAATCCAAATATTGCGCCAGGGGAAAGAATCGAAAAAGAACTCCAAACTTGTAATTGTGCGCGACAACAGTTTCGCTTCGCCGTTTGTCGCCTTTTGCGCTTCATCAAAATAGCCGCAAGAGCAGAAGTGAGAATCGGCGATCCCTCCGTTTTCCCTCCAATTGAATGGCGGGTGGCGGACTCGGCTCCTGATGCCGCGGCGGCTCGCCGCGGCGGTGTGAGCGTGAGGAGTGTCCCCACAAGGTAAACGCGAGCTGGGAGGGCGGCGGCGCCCGCGCGCCATCGACGTGCTGCTTTCCCGTCCGTGCTGCGCAGCTGTGGAAAGGTGCAAAGTGTCCCCGTAATCCTATTTGACTTTTTAATGCTTTCATGCTTATTAATTCAATCAAACAAATGGAAACGCTAAAAGCGCTACTGAGCTTCCCATCGCGCGTAGACCAAAGCGCGCCGCCAGATGTTCACATCGCCGAGCATGAGCATTAGCTCGCTCTTCCCTCGGGGTCTCCCGGTTCAGATGAGGTTGTCGGTGAGGCGACAATGACGCTAAGCTATCCTCATGATGTCAAGCCGTACTGCGATCCCGATGAAAATTCTATCGCGAACTTGGACGACGACACAAAGCTGTCACCTTGGCCGGCGGCATCAACTTTTTCGTGTTGCCACATTTGGGGAGATAAGATTGGAGACTAAACTAAGGAAGGTGATCTCATCTTATCAAATTCACACTGAGCTAATGCTAATGCCGATGCTAATACGTAACGACAACATGCATGAGGCAACGTGTCAAGAAAAGATGACTCATCAAGGTTATTTTGTCTCCCAAAATAAGACCGATGCTTTTGCTGACGCTAATGCACGAAGACGCAATCTGGCAGATGATAAGATGAGCAATCATGAATAGCTCCCAGAATAAGACCACGCTTATGCTAATGCTAATGGGTGTGTTTCACCTGGTCTGTTCAAGGACGCCTTTTTAAATGTTTGTTTACTTTTTTTAGCCTTAGCCTACATGAGTGTCCCGTTATCAATCGCGCGCTAACGACGCACGAGCTAATGATGGCAAACACGGGACTTACAGATATACAGTGAGCTCTCCGACACACGAACGTGCCCCCCCTCGTCCTCCCCTCTGGGAAAGCGGGCCGAACAGCTGGTAGCAGCATCGGCCGGGTCACCTGGGCCACTGCGGGCCGGCGGGGGCGACAGCTGTGGGCGCTAGCCTCTTGTTAGCATGATTAGCTTTACCGTCTACATAAGGTCGATTTCAGGAGGGCGCTTCAAAAATGGTGCTTGACCGCCCCCGCCCCCCTAAACACCTCAACGCATTGGTGAGGGCGGTCCTGCCTGATGGCGGTCAGTAGGGCCTGGGTGCAGATGTTCATGGCAGCTTTTTGAGGGGGTCACCTTGGAGAGGCCCATGGCGCCATGTCCAACCTGGCAAAGGACACCCCCAACCCCCAGCCACATCCCACACAACCCCGCCACCCCCTCCCGTCCCACCACCGCATCCCATCCACTACAGCTGCCTCCTCACTTAATCCCCCAACACGCATGGGGGGGGAAGAGGGGTTTCCACAGCAACCGTTATCCAAGGCAACATCCCATCTATCATGCAACGTGTTATATTTGGTTTTCATACTCGTTCAGTTAGCTCACGATTTTGAGGGCTACCTTGTCACTCGTTTCTTTTTAATTCCCATTATTGAACTGATCAGTAAGCTAAAAGGGTTGGTTTACTTACACACGGGTTAGCTTGCATAAATAAGTAAGCAACGATATTTTTACGATTTCCATCAGCTTTCCATCAGTAAGCTGTTAGTTACTATATCTTACAAGTCAGCAGGCCAGATTTCTCCGCTCACAATTTAGCATAGTAGTTTGTTGCTCGTTGCTCGCTTTCCTCGTTCAGTTGTTTTAGAAGTCAGCAGGGTGGCCAGCAAGCAGTTTTTCAGTCGTTACTTGTTCATTGATGTCAGAAGTTAGCAGGCTAATTTGGCTCGTTAGCTGACAAGTTAGTTTTGCTGGTTTGCTCAAAAATGAGCAGGCTAGGCCGGCATCTTACTCGTCAGTTGACGCGTTTTCGTGCCTTGTTGAGTGCTTAGCCGGGGTTTGGTCCACGGTCGCTGGCTCCGGTTGTGATTCCGGCTGCGGTTGTGACTGGAAGTCAAGCGCGGCAGAGGAGTCGAAGCGGCGGCCCGGCCGGCGTCGCGTTGCAAGCCAAGCGAGCGTGGCAGGATGACGAAAAAGGAGAGAAAGGAAGTTAGATGGAAACAATTAGGGATGCGCAGATGCGCGACCGATTAGGATGACGAGCCGTCCATTTGCGTACAACGGAGCGGACTCACGCGGAAGCGCCTCAACGGCAACGCCCAACCGGCTCACCCTTTCGCAGAAGAGTGCGTCACCTGCTACTTGTTAGCGCACACTTTAGCGGGCTCGTTCTTTCGTTTGCCCTCACGTTGAGACGAGCGTCGAGCTGAGTCGCGTTTCCGAGGCACAAAACGAGTGCACCTTGACTGGTGCCAAGAGTGCAAAGGAGGCCGAGGCTCAGCTGGGGATCGGGCTGAGCAACAAAGTCGAAGGTTTTTGGTTTTTGAGGCGGGGAATAAAAGCGGCATTGAATGTCG